GAATCGTGCAACGGGCTCAAAAACCTCCGTTTCAGAAACATATAGGCGGAACGAGACATATCTCTCGCATATACCCGCCAAGAGTCCCAGTATACAATTTACATATTTATATAAGGTGTATATTCATTTTCCTTCATACATACGACATCTGCATTCATTTACCCTCATATTTTGTAATTTATAGTTCGCTTCTGCATGTCAGTGCATGTCGAGTCAGTGGCAAGCTAGATCAACATATAAAATGGCTCCCCTAGCAAGTATCATGAGTGTATAGTGCTGTTCCTGCTGAATTCTGTAGCTGCAAGAACGAACTAAAAGCGACTCTGATAACTAATCGTGTGCAAATCGAAAAATGTGGCACAGGTTCTCGGAACGCTTTTGAAAATCACTAATACTGTGAAGATGTTGGGAGCTCTCCCATCTCCTAATTCATGAATTTTGTATGCGACTGTTAACCTTGCAAACAGTAAGAACTTTCCAAAGGCCCACTCTGCATTATCAATCGCAAAGAACAGAGGTCGAATTGCAGAAGTTTTGAAATATCTCTCGATCATGGCTTACAACATAGAGCAGTTTTGTTTTTTTATATGTAAAAATAACTACTGTCAAAATTTGAGGGCAATCGAACAAATTCCCTTTGACTAGCTATACTTGTAGCGTGCAAAAGGTGCTCGCATTTAGAGGTCGTGAAAAATTCGACAATTCATTTTCTTCAAAATTTCTGATATAGTCCGATAGCCAGTGCTATAAGCTCTAATCTGATATAGGGGTTTAGATATCTACAGTTTAAGCCGGACGTGCTACATCGATTGCACGTGAGACACCCCTGAAGGTGAACGGTAACCTTAATCAATGAAAGGCTTTCGAGATATGACGGGCCAGGTGAAATTACAGGTAAGGTGCGTTTTTTAACACGTTCTATTTCGTTGCTTAAATAATCAAGCGGTGCATGAGGGTAAAGAGGAGCACAGTATTGGAGTACAGGTCCAATACAAGTAAGATAGAAACTGATGACATCACGAGCCGGAACTTCGGCGCCCTTAAGCAATATGAGAAAAAACATCCTGTTATTAGCCTACTATTACTAAGTCAGAAATATGACAGTTACGCTGTACGGTGCTGGCTATTGTTACGCATAACACTTATACACTGTTTATACATTCAAGTTCCTTAAAGTTGATAGCAATCGCATAAAACTGGTGTTGCGTTCTTTTAAAGTCGATCAACAGTTCTTTATACTTATCTGAGTTCAGCTGAAGTTTGTTTGTGATTCGCAGAAAACATACCAGCAATAAACATTTAACAGGTCATCGTCATAGTTATTCTCGTACCATTACTAATGTCTCCGTCCATGCAGGAGTTATTAGGCAGAGATAAAAGACTATTCGCAGAAAACATACGAGAACGTTCTTCTGTCAGGTAGGTGGAGTCCCATTAGTCTATAAAAGCCTGCCACCACAATTTCTGCAATGTTTCTCATTTTCTTTTCGGTTGTGTATGGCTGCATACATACAAAGAATTACACCCAAATACGATAAAAATGAGTTTTATTCAAGAAGGAAAAGGTATGTGACATAAGGCTTTTTGGCATGTACAATTTATTGTATCTATAAACTTCTGCAAACACTGCGCTCCATCTTATTCTTAATTTTTCAAATATAGGGCTTTTTGTAGAACTTAACGTCATTTAATGCCAGAGCTTTTTAACTAACCAGGCAAACAGATGTAGGAACTGTGTTATACCATGAGGATTTGCAAACAAGACTTCATTTTGCATGATTCAAGACCTCTCGAAAAGCGTTCTCTGTATCATCAATTGGCAGGGGACAGAAGTTGACATCTAGACGTTTCGATACTGATTAGATAAAGCACAATTTGCTTAACTAGCAAATAACTTTTTTTCTACCGTGGTCTGTACAATTCGATTTCCGATCCCAAAATCGGCTTGTTTTCCGGATCGTTTGATTGAAATTATTGTATTAAAGTGAACTCGCCTGCACTGTAGGCACAACTTTTGCTGGTCAGTTTTCAGCAGTTTCATGTTGCTTCTACCATCGTGCGGTGGCGTAATTATATAATAATTCGAACATGGCCAGTCGAATAACGTAACTTTAATTAACTCGCCCGGATAAGGTGCTTGCCCTGCAGGCTAGAACTGAGCTATGTCAGTTCGTAATTCGCTTCTGCAATGACAATGGAAGATCAAAATCGAGTCAGTGGCAAGCTAGATTAACATGTACAGTCAGTTTTTTTTTTTAAATGGCTAAAGATACTTGATGGCTACGGCCCTGAAATCCTCGTTTTTCAATTGGATGGTCTTGGTACAGTTAGATTTAAGGAAATACTGGTGCAATTTTGCTTAAGAAACGGGCCTCGAGGTTCTTTCCTCTTTTTCCTCTCAATTATGCGGTACACGGGGCTGTAAAATCCGCTCTAAATGGCAGCTCCCTCTTTACATGTCGAGTCAGTGGCAAGCTAGATCAACATATAAAATGGCTCCCCTAGCAAGTATCATGAGTGTATAGTGCTGTTCCTGCCGAATTCCGTAGCTGCAAGAACGAACTAAAAGTGACTTTGATAACTAACCGTGTGCAAATCGAAAAATGTGGCACAGGGTCTCGGAACGCTTTTGAAAATCACTAATACTTCAAAATCCAATATCCCATTTCGTAGCAAATTTTCAATTATCATTTTCCCCGTGCGGCATAACTCAGAATCGATTCTGGTTAAGCTCGTGATAAGTGAAAATAGTGTTGTTTTCGAGGATATAAATTTAGTTTGGGGCTTTTCATTTCAGCACGAAGAAACCAGGCTGAACTTTGAAAAAAGTCGTAAAATCGGCATTTACGTCACGACATAATCTGGTTGAGGACCCTGTGGTTAACTCTGGAATTCCAAACACATTTAGCAGTTTAGCACCATGTCCAATCAGGAGATCAATACAATAAGCTAGTCCTGCATAGCAAACGTCGACAGATTGGTCTTTATCTCTGCTTTCGTTTCAAATTGTTATCCATATCCCGTGGCAAAATTGTCTACAATATCATACTCCGTAAGTTAGCGGAGGGCGTCTGTTTTTCTTGGCATATTAGAACACTTTTCAGTTTTAAGAAAGCTCTACGGTGAAATTGAGCTTCAATGGGGACTTGAAAGAGAACAATTTAATCATTTATAGAGGTAAGTCAAATGTTCATTTCCGAAGACTTTGAAAACGGGAAGCAATCTGATACTGGTGTAGATGAAACACACTCAAGCATTTGTCACGCAATACTGAAATTATGTCAATCTTTTTCCATCTTGTAATTTTACGGCCATAAATATCTTTGAATAAGGTTTTTTAACAAATTTCTCAATGTGATTGTTTTTCGTATCAGTAAGTCATCGCTGTGAGACTTGTTAACTTCGCAGCGGGGATCTCATGCAGAATTGAATGTAGCTGAGTGATCACATGCCAAGAAGAGCCAATAAGCAGAACAACTAAACAGAATCATGATCTAGTTCTGAGAAAGCACCTACGTTTAAAAAAAAAAAAAACAAACAAAAAAACAAAAAAACAAAAGAATCGGAGTGATCCTCTCTTTTGAGCGACATGAGTATATGACCTTCATTTGAGCAACGGACATTTATCGCTACAACCGTGCAACGGGCTCAAAGACCTCTGTTCCAGAAACACGAAGGCGGAGCGAGAAGGATCTCTTGTATATACCCACCAGGAGTCTTGCTATATAATTTGTCTACTTATATAATGTTTATATTCATTTCTCTTCATATACCCACATCTGCGTACATTTACCCTCATATTTATTTATCTAAGTTCATTTATACTTCTTTTACCGTCCTTACCTCTACCCTCATCCGCATTCTTCTATATTAATTTACTTTGATCCATATTTATCCACGTCTATTTACCTTCATTTGCCTTCATCTACATTCACCTACCTTCATTTACGTTTATTTACCTTCATTACCCTCGTTTATCTTCATCTTTCCTCATATATCTTCAAGTAATTTTATCTAAATTTACTTACCGTGACCTCAATTTACCTTCATATACCTTCATATACCTTTAATTTTATTCATTTACTTTTGCTTACCCTCCTCTTCTCTCATCTGCCATCATCGACCTTTATTGTCCTTCATCTTCCCTCCTTCACCTTCAAGTACAACTCACTAGCATTTATTTACCTTCCTCTACGTTTATATTCCTTCATCCACAATCATTTCCCTAGTTCTACCTTCCACTACCATCGTTCACCTTCATCACTCTTTCTTCTACTTTCATCAACCTTCATATACCTTCATCTTCTTTAATCTAACATCTTGTACGTTCATCTTCCTTCCTCGTTCTTCATTTAAAATCATGTTCCTTCACATACCTTCATTGTATATCTTAATCTATCAACTCGTCCTTCATCTACAATCATTTATCTTCCCTTTGTCGTCCCTTTTAACCCATTTTTACCTTCAAATACAATTGCTTGCCTTCATCTACTGTTATAGATAGAATTCGTCTACCTTTTATTTACCTTTCCGTAATAAATCTGAATCTTACTTAATTCACTATCATTTACCTTCGTTTACCTTCATTTTCAATTATTGACCTCTCTTTGTCTTTATTTGCCTCATCTACCTTCATCTACCCTCATCTACCTTAATGTTCGCCATCTACTTTCTTCTATCTTGATTCGCCATGTTTTTCCTTTCCTAGCCCTCATATTCCTTCCTCAACCTAAATCTACAATCATGGACCTCCATCCACCTTCATCTACGTTCTTCATCTATCCTCCTCCCAGGACCGCTTATAAGCCTTCGGCGAATGTTTATCCGAACTCTCTTACTAATCCTGGATCTGCCCCAGGAAGTAACTTCACAACATATAATCAGATTTCTTTCCTTTAGGTTCTGTTATGCTTTTTCTGGCACTTTCTGTGACTCTTCAAATAAAACCATCAACGAATGCAGCCCCAATAGATTGCAAAAAGAACAGTGCAGTCTGCTTGGAAGAAATAATGAAGGAACTGACTCAAGTTCGATTTGAGGTTAAAATTCTCATGGAGAACAAAACATTGGCCAGAGGTAAGTTAGATACTATAATATCGTGTGTGTTGATACCTTTATTACCATTTATTCATTTTAGTTCTTATCGTTATTTTTGATCAGCCAAGAGCTGTGCTGAGCTGTACAAATCCGGCCAAAGGATCAGCGGTGTTTACACAATCGACCCAGATGGTTCAGGTGCCTTTAATGTATATTGTGACCAAAAAACAGCCGGTGGGGGCTGGGTAGTGATTCAAAAGAGACTTGGTGGCTCCGTTGATTTTAACCGCACTTGGAATGACTACAAACATGGCTTCGGTAACTTGGTTGGTGAATTTTGGCTTGGCCTGGACAAGATACAGCGCCTGACACGAAACGAGACATATAATAAGCTTCGAGTTGATCTGGGAGTAACTACTGGCAAAACTGTTCACGCTGAGTATGGCTGGTTCGGGATTGGGAACGAGATGGCTAAGTACCAACTGCATATTAGCAATTTTACAAGTAATTAAATGTTTTTTTGTTTTTTTTTTTTGCTATGCTTCGTGCGATCTTTATATTAGAGAGATTTAGCATTGCGTTTACGTGAAACGGCGAACGTTACCTTGCCCTCTCACGTTTTACGGAAAATAGCGTGAACCTTACAGCTTTAGCTTCGCGTAAGCTTGCGTCATGGTGGATTTGATGGAGCCCGTGTAGGAAATACAAAGAATAGTTTTGGTGCCCTTTACCTGGCAATTAATTTCTACTCTGGGAGAGAAAACGTGAAGAAAATCTTGCGTACACGGAAAATACGAAACAGATTACTCTCACGTAGGAACGACATTGCGCAACTAACAAACGTGAATAATGGCGGGAAAAATAAGATTACGTGGTTACTCTTGCCGTTCATGTTTCACGCAAACCCGTTGCAAAATCTCTCTATTGCTCGCCGGCTAAGAGCCTTTGCCTCCACTTAAATACTTAACTTGCTAGTAATGTTTTTTTTTTTTTCCCTAGGTACTACCGTTAAACTGTTTTGCTGTCAATTCTACCCATACACAGTTAAGCCCACGCTCCTCCGCGAACAGTTTGCTTCCACAACTGTTGGAGATAAACAGTTGTTGAACTCGGCTCTAGCAAAACATTGCAATTTGATCACTTATCCTACATACCTGCGAGCTTTTATCAAAGTCTCGATATTTTCCCATGTCTCCTCAAAAAAACTTCATCAGTTGTCATTGGTGATAAAAAAAATATTTTTTTACCATTTACCATAATGATTTGATTCAGCGTCCTCCTTCCAATTCCCCCCCCCTCCCCTCCCCTAATTAGTGGCCCTCAAGACCCTCGAGCTTGTTTTTATTAATGAGTACCCTTATTCCAATAAGCGCCCCTGTAATTCTCCTTTAGTAATAGCAGTGTAGGAGTACATGTCAATTGAGATCAGCCGAGGTCCATCTTTCTTTAACTTCTCACTCAAAGCCTCCCAAAAAACTCATGCATGGTCTTCGTCTCAGTCTCTCAGCTATTATGTCACCGTAAGTGCACGGTTCCTTCAATCTAAAGACACCGTCTAAAACTTTTTCGAGGATTGCTTGGCTAGTACTCGCTCTAGCAAGGAAGTATCCAGGGACAAGTCCGTCTTTCAGTCTTATTTTATTGTTTACGAATAAAAATCAAAGCTTTGTTTCCATCTCCGCTATTTTATCATAAAGCAAAAATGGCCCTGTTTCTAATAAGCGCTCTTTCCCGCAGTACCAACAGTAAATAAGCATCCCAGGGGCTACTTCCAATCAGTACGATATGGTTCTAGGAGAAATTTACTTCATTTTTACGACAAAAATGAACGTGTACGCCTCTAAGATGTTATCTTGATCGCAAACTTTTGCAAATTCCTTTTTCTTTTTATTTTGGAACAGGTGAGACGGTTTCCTCTGATTCCCTTAGTCCTCACAAAGATTTCGATTTTGGTACCTGGGATAAATATTCTGCAGATTGTGCCCCAAAAACAGGCGGAGGATGGTGGCATGGCAACAGCTGTGATCAAGCTATTTCGTCAAATCTCAACGGAATTTATCCGCGTTGTGGAAGTGAAGCAAAGGCCGATATCCACTGGGGAGGATTAGTTCCAGGCATTGCCAAGGGCAGCGCTCCCACATCAACTGAAATGAAAATTAGACCAGTGGATTTTTTTTAAACTTTCAGACGTACAAGTAAACACCCTATAAGTAAATAGTGAATCTCGAGTGTTCTGATTGGACGCCTTCGGAGGTGATAAGTTACCTTGCTTTTACTACGATTGTGACTTGCTGATTAGTGATAACGCGGCCTTCAGTTGCTTGAATTTTAATTAATGAATTCCGTCGGGGAAACACCATCGCTAACTGCTTCCCTCGCGTCCAGACAACAAATGCAGATATTTGCATTTATTGTGACGTTGATCCTATTTTAATTTCTATCCATTGTTTTGGTTTATAATACTTTATGAACCATGATTTTAAACTGCCACATTTCAAAAATTAGTTCGCTTGCTGTTGAACTTAAACCCAAAGATCTCTTCATTCAGTTTTCTAATATCTTACTCTGCAGTTTATGCACTTGATTAAGTCTACATGGATAAAATCTACATCTGTCCAATACATATCGTTTTGAAACATTAGGAAGTAGTCTACACGACAAGAAAAAGATCGTCTACTTTGTTTCAACCACTTTTAATTCCAGAGGTAAAGACTTAATAAGTTACTAGCTGGATGTGTATGTACCTTTTTTATTATTAGTACATTTTTTACCTTTATTTATGATTTTTAAAGCTATAGGATCTAAGAGCTACCAAAATCAATAGAGCGATTTAAGATTTTATCACGGAATTTAACTTTAGGTATATAAGTTTTACCTTCTAAAGAAAAAGACTGCTATTTAATATCGATGTAGTGACGTCAATAGCCCGCGATAGTGTCGGCATGGCAACCCACCAGCTCACAAACCTCCTACACTCGAGGATTTCCACATCCTTCAGCTGGTTTTTATCTTCGATATATGCCAGTGAAGTTTCTCACGCGTGACTTGACAAGCATTCAACATAGACTTTTATCATAACCGCACATGAAGTATTAGTGTACCATGTTTCAGTGGCCGTTTCGGCAAATTGACCGAGCCTAGATACTTTATGTTAAACTGGACTGGGTAAATGACTTTAAAGTTCTTCACTTTGCATAACTTAACAACATAAACAGATATTCCAAACTAGGTTGAGAGAGAGCGGTTCAATTGATATTTTCTGCTTTTGAAAGTCTGAAGACTGTATCTGACCAAATATCAGCTATCAATACCATCTCGAAACCACCGGATACAGTAGACGTCAACATTTTGGCGTGGAGAAAAAACGATTATCATTGTAAAATTAAATAAACGTAATGAATTGACAAACAAAGCCAGCTTTGGAAGCCAAATCAATCAATGGGAAGCTGATGCTCTACTCATCACTGGTAGTTAGTGTATGCTAAGACAGTGGATGTCATTCAAGGTGCACTTCGATTGGCTAATTAATCCCCGAATATTCCTTGCTATTTACGTCTGAGTAATTAGCCGGAATATACTCCTGTTTATTGTTATTGTTTCAGGAATAAATGAGTCAAAATCATCCTTTTGAGGCATATTATCTCACTTGTTTAGAGTATACTAAAGGATCTTTTTACTTCAGTATTGGTGGCATACTTGTATTTTTGCGATACTGGGCAAACACTTAGAGCCGAAAATCAGAGGCTACGAAATCACAAGCCTCACCAATCATTTAACCAATGATTGGTCACGTCAGTCATTTATTCTCTCTGTTAGTCGGTCAGTCAATCGATTTATTAAAATTTTTTATAGAGCATGCGATTATCTTTCTCTTCATGAGGGGGGCATTGGGGCCTCTTGGAAACCCCAAAACCGGAGAAAAAACCTCCAAAACCGAAAACCCGACGAAAAAAGGCGGCAAAACCGTAAACCGCATGCAAACCTGACAAAACCACTACATTTTCATCTTTAAAGGCGTCAAAAAGGAAAAACCGAAAACCGCATCAGAGTTATCGCGAAAACCGAAAACCGAATGCAAAAACACGTAAAATCTGCAAACCGCTCTGAACATCAAAATCGAAAAACCGAACCTTTTTGGCCCAAAAACCGAACAGCCGATCCAAAAAACAGTCAAAACCGCAATTCCAAAGTCCCCCTCCTTCATATGCGAGCTAGGGGTCCGAGCAAGGAGCGCGTGAAAGAAAATTGGAACTATTTTCACTACCACTGCGTAAAGGAGATTACAAACAGTTGAACGCGGTTGTAATTCCAAAGCAGCCACTAGGGGGGAATTAACGACCGCTAAACACTGGTTCAGTAGAATGGGCGTGTTTTGAAAAAAAAAAACAAAAAAAGGTATAGAAAATGTGGAATTCTGCCATTATTGACCACTTCATGTCTAGATATGCTCTCAGAAATACAACTAATCTTGTTTCGGGAGATAAAAATGGAGTAAAATGTATCTACTTGGAAGATCATTTACTGATTGAAATAGTTACTGTCTTGTTCCAAAATCACCAAATTCCACTTAAAAATTGTTGAAACATTTCCCCTTTCCCTTTTTTTTCAATCGGGAAGGAAGTGGAGGTGGAGCCGGGTGTTTGAAAAAAAATTTCGAGGGTATCAGATTAGGAGGCTCAAAACGGCTTCGGCACAAGCAAACCACACCTCAAGTAAACGTACGTCGTGAGTATAGACAACAATAACATTGCATCACGTTGAATAATCTGCAGCTTTTCTTTTCTAGATCGGTACTGTTAACTGTTTTAAGATTTATGCCAAAATTCATGTCGCAAAATTTATAACATGTGTTCCCCTTTTATCACAACGTAATTAAAAGTGTGAATGATATGACTAACATTTCTTGGGTCAACAGTGAGACAGGTATACCTTAGCAGCTTGCAACAGTATCGAGAAGATATCAAACCTCCGTACCTTTCAATGGAGGTTCTTTCTCATCATTTATCAGAGGAAGCTCCTGCAATAAAATTAAGATGTGCAAAATTCGGGTTTTTTTGCAACATCAAAAAGAATGGGCAAATTATCATTCCTGTTCTATTAATTGAATGATTGACATTTAGTTACTTCTGTTTCGACTCCAGCTCGAGTGGTCCGGTTTCGAGTCCAGGCCGGGACATTGTGTTGTGTTCTTAGGCAAGACACTTCACTCTCACAGTGCCTCTCTTCACCCAGGTATATAAATGGGTACCGACAATTTAGAGCTGGGGGTAACCCTGCGATGGACTAGCATCCCATCCAGGGGGGGAGTAGAAATACTCCTAGTCGCATCATGCTACAGAAACCGGAGTTAAGCACCGGCCTAATGGGCCACTAGGCTCGTAAACAGACTTTACTCTACTTACATCAAGCCTATATAGACCTCGTGCTCGATGTGAATAACCAGAACTTGTTTGTTATGTTTTGCGTTATTGAATTAAACCCAACAAGACCAATTCCAACCTTTTAAGCTGATGGTGCCTACTGGTGACGTATGTAGTATTCGATTTCAACTCGCAATAAAAATAACTTTATTTGTTTTTAGTTTGGTACATGTAAATGTACTAACTACTATGCTTGAAAAGACTAATATACCGGTTTATTCACAAAAATTACTTTTATGTCATTTTCATTAAGACAAATGGGAAATAAACTAGACAACCTTGCGACATTACAAACAGCGGCTGAATTTGAGAAAAAACAGTTGATTTATTAGTTGAATTCTTAACTAAATATGGATAAAAGGGCTACCTTTCTAGAGGAATTGTGCTCTTGCATCGGTAGGGGTTGCTACAAGATAATATTAGTTTCATCAACTGAGTCCATGATTATGTAAATTTGCCACCTGTTCATTACTCACCTTTATATCGTGGTTTCTGTAAGGATTTCTGCAGCAGAGTGCGACTAGAATGAGTTTATTTGTCATTTACTTTCCCATGGAAATTCCTATATTGAGTTTCACGTAGTTTCTTTATTTAGAAAAAAAACAGTTCTGTTTATTGCCTAAGAAATATATTGTTACCTTTTCTCAGGAGGTAAACGTATGAAGAGGGAGTTTAAGCTTCCACCAAAGCAAAGCTCAAAACTTTGATGAGTCATCTTCACTCAGCCAGAAACTTACTAATGGGTAATGAGATGAGAAAACGGACACCTTAAAGCTTTAGATCAAATTTCATGGACGCATAAGGAGGCGAGTTCTCATGAATAATAGCTTAGCTTTAGTGAAAATGCATGTGAAAATGGCACAGACGAAAATACGAAATTAGCTTTGCTGATACAGAGAGGTATAAAGATCTTGTTTGGTTTAATCATGATAAACGGAACATTGTGCACCCACTTTCTGCTGCAATTATTCTCTCTTTCCGACTTGAGAGGACTTCGGTCGACCCTCATTGTCTATTGTATTTTCAATATATTTCTTAGTTATACTGCCATCGTGTTAAACATTGTGTTAATGTACGCCTTGAAGAAAACTTCATCTTTGCCAAAGAATTTAACAACATTGTTGCTCAGTCTTACTGTTTCTGATTTTGGGGCTGGTTAATTTGCGCAACCACTTTCTACTTTCTTTCTGGTCAAGTGGTTACACCTAAAGAATCCAAGCTGCAACGCTTACCAAATACTGAATATTTCTGCTTATTTCTTTATGCTTGCTTCGTTCTTTTGTGTTGTGGCTGTAAGTGTTGACAGGCTCTTAGCTATTCATCTTCATCTCAGATACCAGGAGCTTGTGACACATAAGCGTGTTGTTATTCTAGTGATCTCTCCATGGGTGTTAAGTGGATTTGTTTCTTTGATATTACTGTGGGGATCCTCTTGTATAATAAGTCTTATCAATGTAGTGGGAGCAGCTATCGGGCTTACTATTATCTTTGTAACGTACATCCGGATTTATTTAACTTTCCGACGGCACAGGAATCACATGAAATCAATGCAAGTCCAAGATCTAGCTCAGTCAGGTGATATAGCAAACTCTGCTGTCCTTATATAATCCTCTGTTGGCATATTTTACCTATATCTCGTGTTTTTAGTTTGCTATCTGCCTTCTGTATGCGCCGCTGTTATTAGAAGCTATGGCTCGAGTATAGCTTTTAAATTTATTTATCTTTTCTCACTGACTCTAACGTTTTTCAACTCATCTTTGTACCCCATCATTTACTGCTTGAAAATGAGACACATTCGACAGGTTATCATGGACTTACTACGGAAAGTATCTCGGAGAAGATATCAGCCATCTCGTGTAATTTATTGTCAGTCGTGAAATGTCGTCCATCTTACCTGCATGAACCCCTATGTGTAACCAACGAGGACTGTGTGCGGTTTGAACTCGACAGAGCGAACTAGGAGAGACAAGAGTGCACTAACACGTATACTTAGTGATGTGATGTGACAGCTGAAATAAGTTCGTATTCAACTTTTAAATGAAACAACTTGTAAAGACATTTCTCGAGTGAAGAGAAATATCGATTGAACTGTGAAATTAAACTCGCAACAGACAGTGAATTATTGCAATTATAAAAGAAATATAATGTGTACCGAGGTGTTTTCTTTTTTCTTTTGAAACTTATAAAACAAAACAGCGTACAACGACATCGAACCCTTTGATGGAGAACCGAAACTATGAAAAGGGTTTTGTCATCTCTTGTTACTCTAAGCCATAGCGGCAATGTTATTTGCCACATCAATACCTACTGCGCGAAAAATAACCTCTTGCCCTTGAATTACATTCCAACTCCCCTCCGGCCGGTTACAACCTCTCTTTATATTTTTGACTGCAATACCAAGCAAGACAGGTAAAGAAAGTAATAATCATTGATCGAGTGAGAGAAATGTCTTGATATCCCAACATTTTCTTCCAAGTCAAGCAACATTGAGATGTGAAATATTAGCAAAGATAACCTCAGATCTTGATTCTGGAGTGAACGGAGTGGCTAAAAAAGTGACCAAAAAACGGGACAATATCATATTAAAATTTGACTTGAAGGATGTTCTTTCATTTTAAAGACATCTTTTTATAACCAACTACACTCCGTAAAGTACAATTAACGCCATAGACGAGTAAAAATATCACGCGGTAGTTGTACTCCAGAGAACCAGTCAGAAAGGTTTTCTCGCATTGCGCAAGCAAAGAATTGGATTGAAGTTACGGAAAAAAAGATGGTGGACAATTTGAGTCATATTTCCGACGACGAAGGGTCAGAACTGTCGGCAAGTATAGATCCAAGTTTACTAGATGAATCGAACGAAGAAAAACAGTTACACAACCAGGAAATTTCTCCCTTTAGTGAAGAAAATAGAAGCAGCAACACGACAACGCGCCGATTTCGTTCCGCTACGCACACTTCTGTCACACAATTTCCGTAAATAAATATCCGCGAAACTCGCCCGCACTGAAATAAAAATTTGGCGTATTGGACAATAAACAACTTATTGGACGTTTTGTTGTGTAGTAACGGTGTTCCGTAAACAACCCTTCCCCACCCTTCCACCCTTCCCCCCCAGAAAAGTAGATAAATAAAAATAATAAAAAACAAAACAAAACAAAACAAAACAAGAAACTTATGTTCAGCTATTTTGTCCTAGTAATCGTGTCCTGGTGTAGCTCACATTGCGTGCCTTCATTTTACGTCAACTTCCGGGAAATCGACAAAGTGTTTGTCGAAAAAGAAAACTATTCGCATTTGTACTGGCATATTTTGCTACCTAGAATTGTTGTTATTGTTGGTCCCTCTAAACTCGAAACAATCGGTAAGTTTTATCGTATTCAGTGTGCATTGTAATTTCGCTCGCTCAGGTGTAATTTCTCTTCATAGAAAACTTGTCTTACAGTCAAATTTGGATGTTTACTCGGTTCGATTTTGGAAACATTCTTCGATTTTCCTTGGAATCCCTGTAAATAGACGGTTTGAGTTTTCGCTTTCGAGTGTATTCTTATGTGTTTTTTTCCAAATGCGTAAATACCTCGACGTCTAATTATGATGCTGTTGATTAATTTTCTTTTTGTATTGTTAAAAAGCAAATAAAACGATGACGATGATAATGTTGATGATGATGATCTTGAATAACTTTTCGCCCCTTGGAATGTTAAGTATATCCTGGCAGAATTGCTTAAGTAACTTTTCCGTTCTCGAACATCTATCCTAATTTGTGACACAATTGCCTTGGTACAGTAAGATATACAAAATGAAGAACCAATGATGTCGTTTACTTAATCTAGTTTTACATTAAGTGTTTAAACAGAGCTACTGATCTCAGTCAACTGCAGTATTGCAGTAATTCCAAAAGGCCAGGAAGTGGACTTCTATTCCTTTACATGCTGGTAAAAACGCGTGCAAGAAACTTTATTGGCAGATATGAGAATAACGAATCAGTGTAGGATTGAAAATCCTCGAGCGTGGGACCACATGGGACTAATGGGGATTGCCATGGCAACACAATCGCCAGGCTCTTGATTAAATACATACCATGAAAAATGATATATGTCTTTATTTCTTCATAAGATAAAACTCACACATCTAAGGTCGAAAGTTTTGATTCAAACTAGTCACCCATTATAAGAGATGACTCTTAAAAATCACTATTCACTTATTGGGTGTAAACGTATCCGTAAGAAAGCTCTAAAAAAGTCTACTGTTTTAATTTTCGTTTCAGTTGATGTTGGTAATATACTGCAAAAAGGGGGAAAACAAAGAAAAAAATTCATATTTGTCAAAAGAAAACATCCACATGCGAGTCAAGAGTCCATTCCAACTGTTCTTTGTCGGACTCACTCGCATATCCACCACGTCAGAATAAAATTTGTTATGGAAAACTCTACGTCCTGAATTTTTCCTTTTATTGGCGCAAAAATCTACCCTGGGTAGATGGAGGAATTGACAGGATGAAGGAGTTTGTTCCAGAAGATGTAGAAGATGCATTCTGCCCTTGCAGAATGAACACTGATGCCCAAACCACTCTCAAATAAGACTGCCACCCCTCTTGCATCACTGGAACAGTGTAGAAACAAAGTTTTTCCCTCCCCATTCACGTTCCCATTGCTTTCACTTCTTTTGTACGGTGAATTTCTTGAAGAAAAATGATGTAAAGTTTTGTTTTTCTAGACCGCGTAAAAAAAAAATACGCTACCTTTGTTTAATTTGCTCAAGCTCCTGACGCTTGACGACGTTATTTTCAGCATCGGAGCCAAAACCTGGCTACAATTTTATTAGAACATCTGTTTATACAAAATGATAGTGTAACCAAACTTGCATAAAATAATGATACTGTAATCCCTATTTACCTAGCAAAATGTAAATTAATTCTTTTGAAACAAACAGAAACACAGACACAACCACTGTCTCACATCTTCTGGAACAAACTCCTTCATCCTGTCAATTCCTCCAGAACCGGCTTCGGTCCGAAGAAAATATTGTTGCACCTTTGACAAGCAAGTGAGTTCCGAAAACATTTTGAAAATGCTATTTTTTTTTTCTTGTCAATGTTCTGCTGCGCTGTTTTTTGAAGAGAGTGTTAAAAGATAAGATCTCCAAGCAGAAAATTGTGTACTGTAGATTCGCATAAAATTGGTCCCTTGAAACATAAATTGAAATCACCATTCTGCAGAATAGGCTCCCTTCACATAAGGTTCTATGCTACACAATGTTAGTAATAATTAAGAGAAGATGGGAATTATCAGTACATGTGAGCGAAGACTATCATACTTACGTATACACGAGGTTCTGTTCTCTGTGAGAATGTTAACCTCAAATCGAACTTGAGTGAGTCCCTTCATTATTTCTTTCAAGCAGTCTGCAGTGTTCTTGATTGGAAATCCACGCATTGATGGTAGAATTTGAAAAGTCGCAAAAAATGTTAGAGTTAACGTAGCAGAACCTGGAGGAAGAAGTAGTTATGCAGTATGAAGTCAATTTAGCTACGATATGTCATATTAGATACGATGAATATATGAATGATTTGGTGATTCCTCTACTGCGAGGATGATGCATCATACATATGTCATATTGTCAGAGTGAAGTAAACAGCAGGCAGAAATAAATTATATGGTGCTTCGATTGAGAAATCTGGATGTAGATTTTTATATCCGAATTTGGAATTTTGCGATGAATCATGAAATTCAAAACCAGATTTCAAAGCTTATCTTTTCTCAAGGTGAATTTCATTTATAAGTCATTGAACTTTGGATATTACGAAAGGTGAATACAATCTTTAAATCTCATATGACATTTGTTTTTTACTTTAAAACTCACCTGTCAATCATTTTATCCCATCCTATGATTGTGCAAGCAATAAGCTTTCATTAGCTTCCATATACTACTGTAACCCGGCTCATATTTCATTTCAACTCTTGTAGTCTGCTTGAACTGGAAGATTAAGAGTTGCATGAAAGCCCCATGGGTACAATTTTCAGCCTCTTTAAATTAAAAGGCTTCAAAATGAAATGATACACATGCCGAGAAATCGACGACAGTCAGTAGTTGATGTCGTGGGCGCTGCATATGCTAATGAGGGACTTTCAATTCTCAATTCCCACCTCAAAAATGCTCCTAATGAGGCTCTATCACACATTTTCAATTGGAACTAGCGTTTTTAATTTACAAATAAAGAATTACTATGTTTCGGAAGTCAAAGGACTTTAAAGATATTATTGAGCAACAGGAAAATGTATTTAACTAGAATTATGCACACATGCATGATTCGTAAGATCGGAATCAAAATTAGCACACTCCATACGATGAACAGCTTCAGAACAGCGGAGATCCGCTAAAAAACTAGGTTACAAAGCCCTTCAAAGATGGTTACTATTTTTCTTGTGAGTTTCAAGACTATCCAAATTCGACTCTTTTTTTGTTGCTTCCACAAGAGCTCGTTTCCCCAAAGAGGTCGATACCTGGAAAAACATGAAATACGGCATTTTGTCAGCTATTTCGGCCGAACTCTAGCTTTTTGAGCTTCTTCGGAGCGCGTGCTTTACGCGATTTATGTTATAAGGAAGCACAGGATATAAGCAAGTAACTTTCTCTACATTGCAAATAGAATATCGAACAGCCAGACGCTGCATACTCTTTCCTTGTTGATTGCCCCTCATTGTAATTCTACGGGTGTTGTACGTTTGCAGTGTTATTCACAAAGGCTGCAAAAAGATAAAAATAATCTCATGGTGACGACAGGTAAGAAAGTTCACAAGACTCTTCAGAAAAAGTATAGTGGTAAGGTTTTTTCCGGAAGATTTTTTCTCGAATTAGAGCCTCCCAGTTAGACGTGTTGGGCGCTACTAACAACTGAACTGCAAAGCGACACTAGTTCATTTTATGTCATTACCAGTTGTGCCATATACATTCTTCCACGGGAAGAGCCCTCTTAAATCGGTTTCGGTCCCAACGTGTGGCTTTGCGTATTTGGGAGGCACGGGTTTGAATCTCGTCGAAGACTGAAAATTTTTTTTAGGTTTTTTCTTTGCAATTAAAATAGCACCCTACCAACGAGGATAGTCGCTTTCTTTGATTTTAATCCAGGGGTCAAATGAAATATTTTTCATTGCCAAACACTACTCATTTGCATAGTAAATTTAGCTGCTTGCTGAAAACGTAGTCTAAATCCAGATGTTTTCAAAGGCCCATCTGATCAGTTGACAACACTTAATGCGACGAAAGTATCATGTTATCTGCAAACACCTCACGCATCTCCGTCATGACGAAGATTACTCTGAAATTACGCTAACGAACTACTACTGTAGTTTTATTGCCAGTATGAAAACACAACCACCAATTGTTTCATTGATTCAATTAGCTCTCACAATTGAAACAACAAATGATTTACAACTAAATTAATTAAACAACTGGTCCTCATCTCTCTGCCATTAAGCAGATGCCAAAAAATCTTTGAGGATCTCGTGCCTGATTCTATAGAGTTTTCGTCCGTTGAGACGTTTCAAAAGAAACCTTTATTCTCGTCAAATGATTATTAGCTTTAAAAAAGCGAGAGCACATATCTTGGACTACATTTATGCTATGGCACACCGAAATAAAAGTGAACTGAACTGTAATGACAGTCAGAGGGCCACGCAATCATATCATAAAGCAATCAATTAATCAGTCAATCAATCCATCCATACACCGATCAGTTTTTGAAGTCAGAGCATTTTATGAACTAACTTTCACAAACATTTTTCACTTGACAGTCGAGGAACAGGACTTGGTCTTTCTAGTGGGTTTTATCTAAGTTTAAGATAGCTGGCCAAGATTGGAATCAGAAGAATAAGGAATAAATATGCAATATCTAATGTTAAAGAATCAACATTACAGAGCGATACCTCAGTAGCTCGATGCAGTACTGTATTAGGACTGAAAGAAATGCAACAATTCAATTCACAAGCGGCATTATTCATTACCGTATGGAAATCTAAAATGCTTATACTGAAACCACCAATTTAATGCTAAACAACTCTGCACCTTGACGCAGTGTTTTATGAAAAGCTATACTATCGGCAAAGCAATCATTAGGATAGATGCTCATTGTTAATAAAAATTTGTAAACAACTCTTATTGTATTTAAAACAGCTAGATCTCACTTACCTACTACTCTTTGATTGCCTGGTATTGCTTGCAGCGTTTTCCAGAAAAGTCGCAAAAATAAATTTTACGGGGTGAGGACCGACAAAAAGAAAGAAAGAGAAGAAGAAGAAGAAACTTGTAAGAAAATATCACCTAGTAAATTTTACCAAAACAGATCGTAAATGCTAAGCGCACTCGCCTCATTCATCTAATTACCTCTAAACCACCTCCTTTGCACTCTGTACAAGAACTGAAAAAGGTGCATATGCTGTTGTTTTATGTACCTTAGAAATACACACCTGCCATTAAAAACAGACCTATTTTGCTCTCAAATTGTGAGACGCAATAAGAGATTATTTATCTCTTGAGACAGAGCTTAACTCTTTGATTATATCAACAATGCCATGGGTGAAAGTCATGAAGAGTTTGATGCTAAATGTTTTAGATGGTTGTTGTCTGTCACATCCAGATTCTTGCCGAATGCAGCTCTGCGAAATATATTTTAAGATTAATCTATTCAATTTCAAACTTAAGCAGGGAAAGTTAACGATTTGTTAGAGTAGACACTTTTTGTGGCAGTGATAGAGAATATTCTTTACTGGATAAGGACACGTTTGCTTGAGGACATGCAAGTTCGTGAGAACTGAATATAGTGTAGTATAAGAGTTTAGGATAGGTTATCGATGTCAGTCTTGAGATCCACGATTAAATGGGGAAAGTGTCAGGTAATTAATCTTCAGAGCTATGGAACAAAGCATTGTTTTATCTTTCTTGCTCTTTGATATATTGATCGTAGTATTTTCACAGCGCATCAATGCCCTCCAAATGATGGATTTCCCTTCGTTAGATGCATGAATGGCGCTCAATATTACAAATAATTTATCAAGTTTCGCACAAGGAATCCCACGCTCAAAATCTCAGAACATTGTTTCTCAGTATAAGCATAAATTTTTATTGACTCTTGAGCAGACGGGAAGCAACCATTTTAAACCATTAATCCATTAATGCAAAAAAAAAAATTAAAAAATTAATGAAGTTAAGGGAATCTAAAAAGAATATGTTGGCTACTGTGCGCCATGAGGATAGACAATAATATCGCTTCAAGTTGAATAATCTCAGTCTTCTATTTATTCGTAAGATTTATGTCAAAACTCGTCTCGCGAAGTTTATAACATGTGTTCCCTATTTTTTTTTTTACCCATTAAAACTTACACCACTATCATTCTCTGTGTTATTGTAAGGTATCGATCCATCAAAGAATTGCATGTACAATGGATATGTCTTGTATGATACAGGAAGGAACAGCAGTTCTCTTATTACAGAAATGTTGTCAGCTTTCAAGACCGCACGACAAGAACGGAATTAGAAAAGCGTGAAACTCAGAGATAGATAGGTTACTTGTAAATTCAGGAGTTTGGTAACAATCTGACAATGAGATATCAGCTTAAGTTAAAACCAGTGAAAAATCGAACATCGTTGAAAATCGGTGTCGAAGCTGGCTTTAGTTTGGAAGGCATAACGTTTCCTTAATTTTACATTGATAGTCGATTTTGCCCGACAAGTCCGTTAATGGCGAACTTTTGGTCAAATGTAGTCCTCAGACTTTGTAAAGCAGACAAGGTCTGCTTGAAAAACTCTCAAAAGTTTAAAGTCATGTGCATAGCGACAATCTGACAATTCACCTCCAAGCAAAGGGAAAAAAAAGTAGACGAAAAAATCCCCTGTTTCAAGCCATGTAAACTTTAAATGTTCTACGCCTAAGACAGAAAATGGTATTCCACTTAAGAACATGAAAGGTTCAACTTCTCAGCGGTCCATTCATTGCGTATATGGTACCTAAAATAGCTCTGCTGTCTAAAGAAGAAGTATTTGAAAGGTCATTTGGATTGTGGCCAGACACGTACAAAAATGCGCCGTTAGTTTGATACTCTCCAAATTTTAAAAGACCATACTGAAAGTTCTTCGAGTTATTTCTGGCTGCAAGGTATTTATCATGCTTTAATGGTGACCCCAAAGATCAGGCATGTAATTTATTCTAATAACTCTAATTCCGTTCTCATCGGGAATTTTGTATAGTAGATGAGATCAGATAATGCCGCTATTCGAGATCTGTTGTTCCTCAAATATCATACTAGAAATATCTTTCGTATGCGAGATTTAAAAGATCAGTGCTATAAGACAAAGAGCTATAACAGCCTCAATCAAAATAAAAGCAAACGTAGTAATCATAATACTGAGAATTATAATTTGCCAGTATTGATCCATACAGAAATTTTCCATTGAGAATACCCAAGCCATAACATAATAAAGGCTGTGGAAGGGGAAAAACATTACCAATGCATTATCATTGTTTGTCTCAAATGCAGTCACTTGCGATATCAATTCCTTGTATCGAAACCCTATTGAGCCACCTTAATTGCAACCCTCGTGAAGTTTATCGAAACAACCCACTCCTTCGTTAATGCTGAGATTTTTTTCTATAGCAATCTTCACTAACGTTGAGACTGAGGTTAAGGAAATGTTTAAAAAAAATTGTGACAGTGATTTAGGCGATTCTGCGCCATGAATATAATGTACATTGAATCAATGGAAACCATTGTTCGTTTGCAATGATCCGGTACACCGTGGTGGTGACAATGGGCTCTTTGTCTTTAGCAATATCTTTATGGTTTCATGCATGAACCTTTAGCAAAGATATAAAGGGTAAATTCACCAGACGCTTTCACACACAAAAAAAAATATTGATTGATCCCTTGATAGATTGACCGCCTGACTGAATGACTCACTAGGTTAAGCATGTTAGTGGTCAGTCTCTCACTTTTAACAGTTTGAGGCATCCACTCATAAATAGTGTTCATAAATAGCTGTAAAGTAATTATTTTCCTCCACCAAACAATTTCATGCAATTTCTTTCAAAACTAAACTCAACGATAACGTGTGTAAAACACGAGATCGACAAAGACCTGACAGCATCCGCTTAACGGAGAAGGAAAGGTCGAGAAATGTCGTCTACAGGAAAAAAACTCCTTCTAATGATTTTAACAACTGTAGGCACCGTAACTGTTTGAGTGAGATAATGCATGATTTGATAGATGGATTGATGGAAACTGATTGAGGTAGCAAAGGTTAGATTCCCAGGAAATTGCCAACATTTTATCTCTTACTTTTTCTCGAGTTATATTTAAAGCAAAAAGGTGTGGAATTTCGGTGTTTAATGTCTTTTATTGATTGACGCACAAAGTCGCTTTTAGATTCATTTAATTCCATTTCTTTTGTTCTCGTTAATAGGGCGACATTGCTTCCCGTTTGCTCAAGAGACAGTAAAGCTATATGCTCACTGAGGCATAACTTTCTGAGATTTAAGGCACTAAGGATTCCTTTATTGAATCCAGTATCTGAGAAAGAGCAACCATTTTGGTTCGTGCCGTCTGCATTCAGGAGTTCCTGATAAGGGAACGGATTGCAGTAAGGATGATGACATTTCCATCAATCTGTTATGAAGTGCCAAGTATTAATGGTAAAACAGCCACATGGCTCCTCATTATAATAATAACAATAATAATAATAATAATAATAATAATAATAATAATAGTAATAAATGTATCAGAGGGAAGTTCTCAATGCCATTTGATTTGCATTGCAGTATTCATTGCCTCATTTTCATGCAACTGATGAAGGAGAATCTATCACTTGTTGTTCTTTTTTTTTTTTTTTTATATCGCAGGTTATTTTCAGTTACATAAGGCATATGTACTTTAGTCGGTTGTTATGCGGAGTGTGAAGGAGGCAATTGAAAAGATAATTGATCGAATGCACCCAGTATGAAGTCCTATTAGCTTTGATAGAACCGTACCAAAATAATTTCTCCAAAGAGCTACTTTTAATTTCTTCCTTCTTTTTGACGGCCCTCCCCGAGAATAAAAAAAAAAAAAAGATTAATTTCTTTCGCGTCTCTAGATAAAACTGGATACACTACCCGGCAATCAATAAGTAGAAGCTATGTGACTCTTGGCTGTTTTGAAATCAACTTATGTACAAACTTACGTAATCACTGAGCATTGATCCAAATGATTACTTTTTCAAATGTAGAACTTTTCGTAAAATATTGTGTCAGTGTCCAGAATGATTAAATATTACATACCTCAGTTCCGTTCGTGTCTTAAATACAATCTTATGACTACTACAATGTGGCATGAACTGAGGTATCCCTTCTATACGATGCTGCATACTGGGGTATAGCTGTCATCAGTCATCAACACACATGAAACATTTTTTTTTTACATATCTCTCTTATTCCAATCTTCGCGAGCTATCTCAATCGCAAATAAAACCCGTCAGGTAGACTCCTTCCTGTTATTTAACAGTAAAGTGAACGGGTTCGTCAAATACGCTGACCTTGCTGATCGATACATGGATCGATTGATTGACTGATTGATTGATGGTGTGATTACTGTCATTGCAGTTCAGTGCATCTTAATTTGAGTATGCCATGACCTACATGTAGTCATAAGATATGTGCTCTCGCCTTATCAAAGCTAATAACCAAATGGCAGGTATTAAAGTTTCTTTTGAAACATCGTAACGGACGATAACTCTCTAGAATCAAACACGAGATCCTCAAAGAGCATACGGCATCTGCTTAATGGCGGGAAGGTGAACACAAGCTGTTTAATAGTTGAAAATCATTTGTTTTAATTTTTCGAGGTAATGGAATCGATTAAACAATTGGTGGCTGTGTTTTAACGTCGCCACATGAAATTACATTAACTAGTAGCTCGTCAGAGTAATTTGAGAGGAGCAAAATCAGTTTATAGCTATGGCACGATATGCATAAGATGTTTGTTATAGCCTCATAATACTTTGCATTTCCAAGTTTGAAAGAAAGTAAAATTTCCTGAAATGGTCCCTCGGTGAAGAATTTTACGAAGAAAGGTCCCAAGATTGTGAAACGCGTAATTTTTCATCTTCTTTTTCCCAGGAGCGAAGAAAAGGACCTGTCCACCTTCTGTTTTTCCGATGTGGCAGCATAATCTGATTACTTACCGTACGTCTAATTCCTCTCTCTTGATACGTGATATAAATTACAGACTGATTGAGTTGGTGACATGAACTTGATTTAATTTGTGTTGAACTTTGCTAACTCGCATAGCCTCAGGTGACCTGGAAAATCGCCATTTTTGCAAGATTGATTGATTGTCATTTGCTGAGTCACTAGGAAAATAGCTCCTGAAAATAGGCCGATGTTTCTCGTCTTTAGTCAAGAGTTTGTAATCTATATATGAATGATAGTAAATGAGATTATTTCTTTGATTCAACAATAATTTATAAGACTATTAATCGCCCCTGGTCATGCAATAACGAATTACATTTGAAGGAACATATTTACATAGCCATATCATAGCTATTCATGCAACTGGCGGAAGGATATCAATCATTTGTAGGCCAGCGACGTATTTTGCAATGGCTACACTAAGATATTGAACAGTTGGAAATATTTAACGAGATGAATCATTTCCAATAAGATGCCTTGTATATCGGTTCTTAAGACTACACGAAAGTACGCCTTATTATATCATTTCAGATATATAAGATTAACATATCATATGCCTGATAACGAAATCTATCCCAATTTTTGTTTCTACGCTATATGCAGTTCTCACGTGCTTGCATGATGTATTCAAACAAAGGTCAGCCCTAACGGTTTTTTGTTATCCAATTAGGAATTTCATCTTTTCTTAAAAAAATCGCGTTATCCAATTAAACATTTCCTCATTTACTGCCACGGATAAGCAGTCTTGAACGGGACCCTCGTGACGGCCATTCTCTTTAAAATTGACACCATTAGTGCTGTCTCTGGATATAAGGGAAGGAATTGACTACTATGACAAGTGTGCATAAAACTACACGCAATCAGCAGTAGGTGCAGTCCTTGCACCCTATATAAGAACTTACCACCAAGGTCGTCGTCAATAAACTATTTTTTCGCATCGAGGTACGTGCATCCAAAATATTACACCAAAAGAATTACAATTCGATACTCACAAGGAGTAGGTATGTAACATCTGACTGCTTGGTATGCAATTTGCAGTTTATCACGAGAGATCTAAACTTACGTGCTTAGATCTTATTCATTTATACTTTTTCAAACAAAGGGCTTTCCGTGAAACGTTTACCTCATTTACTGCTACAGCTGTTCAATTCTGAGTTGCTTAGTCTTACCAACTTTCACCACATAGGGTTTGCACGCTACACTCAGTAATTGTGCAAACAGCAAGAAGATCGCAGTATATATCATCACTTGCACGGGAGAGAAGTTGAACTCTGAACGTTTCGGAACGTTTTTCGATGGTATTTCAGAATAAAGAACGCTCAGTTTATCTGACATATTCCAAGCTCGCGGTAGCCTATAATTTTCTTTTCTACTCAGTGTTCTGTGAAATTCGCTTTTCCAAACTACTGTGTCTCAGTTTTAGATTCCTTTTTGTTCGGGAAGATACAAATAGCAAGTCAATGTCGAGTCAATGAAAAGCTAGGTCAAAAATTATATGCAAATTATAAAAATGGCTTCCCTAAAAATTATTATGATAATATTTACCTGATTCGAATTTTGAACGGTCTAAGATTTTAAGAACGAATGCTTCAGTCCTTTCAGTTCTTGCAGTTAGATTTTCAACTGACCAAATAGGCCTTTCAAACTCTCTGGATTTATGTCCTAACTCTTAACAAGCAGATAGATTTACAATACAAAGGTGAAGCTAGGCTTCTTCAAGATAGACTTCATTTTTTTTTTTTTAAATCAACCAATCCTATGCAGTTCGTTCGCTTCCTGTTCATTGTCACAGTGGCATAAAACTTATACTTCTTCAATCAATCTTTGCCATACGTGATTCATTCATACTCTCGAATCCACTTTAAAAGTTATTCCCTTAACTGTCTTGATTTAATCCAATCAGTCTAATTCGATTGCGATACAATTTCTTTGAGAAAACGAATACTTATGGTAAATTGCCAAAGCGAGCGATTAAGGACTTGAACCGTAGCTAGAGTTATCAGCTTTCGCTTTAACTCACTGGCATGAGAAGCGATGATATGCTTCTTCGAACTTTCACCTAATTATAAAAAAACATTTCACCTACGTTAAGGTTTTACGTTCTCAAAAAAAAAACTTTACATATACATATATAAGAGATTTATTATCTAACACGGAAAATTCTTATTGCAGTGTGGGCGAATTTCGTGGATATTTTTGGAGTACAAATATTACGTGATTTTTGTACTCGTCTCGCGCGTTATTCGTACTCTAAGAAGCACATTGCATAATAATTCTCGATACTTGAAACAAGGCATTTTAAGCGTGAGGGTTGATAATCCTCTGTATTTTCGTGGAACGGGCGAAGAAGCTACTAAAGATACATGTTTAATTTCCTCGTTCTTTTCGTCGCAAAAATTCTTTGAACAGTTTTAAACCTCTCTGCTTCGTTTTCTCAGTTTTTTCTCTATCTGAGTTTATGTTCTGTATTCGTTCTCTTCCACCCAGTCCCATACAGAAATTCTCCAATCATCTTTTGTGAATGATTTGATCTCATGCATAGACAACCCCACCAGAGAATTCTAATAATCTTCCGCACAGTTTGAAAATCAAAACGCTCCCAGTCAACAAAAAGAAGCGTAGCCGGCCTGTCAAGCAGGTTTTTTATGTCATGAAATGTTTAATCGKCRMMRCKA